ACACACACACACACACACACACACACACACACACACACGTCGGGTATTCATATCTAATTGACATAATAGACAACCCCTTACCATAACCTTATCGTAACACTGGCACTAACGCCACATTGTGAGTCTCAAACATGCTGGTGGCGGGCAACACATCCCGAGTTTACAGGACGCTGAGACGGCGATGAAGAATGCCTTGCTCGGTACAGCTGATGACGTGACGGCGAGTGTGGGGCAAGCAGGATCTTGAAAGTGTGAGATTGATCCTGCAGACGTCCTGACACACACAGATATGGCTGACTCGCACACTCTCACCTGTGTGTGTGAGTCAGCTGTTTCCTTACTGCAGCTGGACGCCGCCGTGGGCACAGACCTCGTTCATATCTGGATGCATATTTCATGCTATCCTGAAGGTGCGCTTGATTTAGCTGAGCTGGCACGCCGACTCAGCGGCCGTATGGATTGCTGCAGCATGATGGAGAGCGCTGTCACCGGGTGAACCAGCTGATTCCTCCTCGTGACAAACGGACCCGTGAGAGCAGCTCTGAGCGTTCACTCGGGCCCCTCTAAAACACACAGACAGGTTTCAGTGTGTGTCACACATCACGCCGGGTGAAACGAAGCTTCAAAACGGATCAAACGTCGTGTCGTCTGATTGGACAGCTGTGTGTTGTCGGTCCTCTGGCAGCTTTCTTGGCTCAATAACGACTTAAACACCGTCAGAAAAATAATCTTAATTCTGCCACATTATTCTTTATTCTTACTGGACCTTTCAAAATAAAAGCCGAAACCTTCAAACCAATATTACCACCATTAAAAAACATCTAAAGTAATATTTAATTGTATAGCACCTTTCAAAATAAAAATCACAAAGTGCTTCACAGAAACACTAAAACACAGAAACAAAAATGATTTTAGCTGTTTTATAAAAGAGACTGCTGAGTCCACAGAGCTGAAGCTCAAAGGGAGAGGGGTCCAGAGTCTGGGGGCCACAGTTACAAAAGCTCTGTCAACTTTTGTTTTCAGCCTCATATGATGGACAACCAGCAAGCCCTGATCACATGACCTCAGGGACCTGCTGGGATGTAAAAGATCTCTGATGTATGTCGGTGCTCGTCCATGCAGAGCTCAGAACGTGCTGAAGAGGGAGTAAATACAACAGAAACAATCTGATAAACCCTGAGACAGAAAATCCCCCGACAGCTTCGTTAGAGCCGCTCAGGTTAGCCGCTGTTCTTTAAATATGGCTCATCGATGGGGTGGGCGCAGGAAGTGATGCAGAGCGGTGAAAAGCATCATCCCAAAGAACCAAAAGCACGACCTAAGTGTCGTCTTACAAAGAGATCCGCACAGATGACGTAGCCAGCAGGTCCTGGCTCGCCTTCATCTGTCTGAGTGTTTGGAGGCAGGTCGCCTCCCACAGCTGCAACCTGGCCCTCAGAGGTGGACCTGCAGCTCGCTGCTGCACGTGCTCACAGTAACCCTCCAACAGCAAAACGCTGTGAAGATGTGTCAGCGCAGCTCAGTCACACATAAACACCTTACATGCTCAAAGCTGTTTGCAGACGATCACATGATCAGCGTAACTTCCTGTTTCCTCTGCAGAGCCTGCATCAACCAGCACCTGATGAACAACAAGGACTGCTTCTTCTGCAAGGCCACCATCACCGGAGTCGAGGACTACAGCAAGCCGGCCTCCTCCTAACACACACACACACACACACACACACACATGCAGGGTGAAATGAGGCACCATAACTACACACAAAAAACCAGAGCAGTGATGTGAAGACAGCAGCAGAACCAGCTGTCACATTAGCACAACGGCACCTCCACCTGTCAAAGCGAGTACACCACGCGCACAGACACACACACAGACACACACAGTGCTACAGGGCAACAGGATGCAGGCGTGTCGCCTCTGCAGAAACACACAAACAGGAAACAAAGGAGAACCTCATCCTCAGCAGAGGAAGGCTTCCTCCAGGACTCCCACAGTAATTTAACACAGACACACAAAACTCACATAAAACACACGAGAAGGTCGACAAAGAGCCAAACAACCGCAGATAGGATCCAGCGTCCTCCATCACCACCTGATCCACAGCTCAGAGAGCTGTACCTGTACACACACGCCTGCTGGACTGTTGTTACCCTGCTGTGACAGAGTTTCTGTCCTTATCACCGTCAGGCTCCAGATTCAGTGTCACAAACAAAGAGGGCGTCACTGCTGTTGAAAAGCTGCTTTAAGATAAACGTCCACATCATTAAGAAGTGATTTCAGGTCTCATAAACTTCATTCACAGCAGAACACAGAAACATGTGACCTGTTCAAATCGGTTAAATAAACAAACGTCCATCCTTTAACTACAGGCTGCTCTTCATCAGTAAAATTCAAACCGTCAGCAGATGTTTGAACTGTTCTCCACGAATCAGAGAAAACCTGAACCTGGCGTGGATGAGACGCACATGTGTATCCGGATTACTGCGCTGATGATGATGACGGTGGTGTTTCTGCTGGAGGAGTCGTTGCGTGCTCGCTGTACTCTGCTGTTAGTTCCACAGTTATGATTTCACACATGTTCACACTGTGGGGCGCCGTTTGTAAAATGAAACATGCTGAAATTAACTGCAATATTTTTCCACATTTAGCTAAAAACGAGTCCTTTTTTTACAACATTTAGTAAAATACTTGTAACTTTTCACAGTTAAAACACAGTTTTGAATGTTAAATCTAAATGTTACAGGAAACTAAATATTTAGGCTAACATGTAAAATTTATTGTACGGATCAACGGAAATACCAAAATAAAAGCTTTACGAAAACCTCGGGAAAAAGGAGAACACATGAGAACCGTTTGGACTCAATCTACACATGTTGGTTCATTTTCTTAAAATCACTTTGGACAACACTATTTTACGCCATTTAGCTGCTGGTTAAAGTTAGGTTATGGTTAGCTTTAGGGCTGGAACGTCTATAACCGCGGGACCGTCCACTGGGATTCAGCCATAAGTTTCCTCAGGAACGCCGCGGGACGTGACAAATATGGCGGTATGCTACGCCCCGGGAGAGAGCAGACACAGCCCCGGGGCTGTGTGTGACCATCAGGTGTGAAATGACCCCTGCTGGTCACTTCTCACCGCCATGAGCTGCTTCACTTCTTGCCTACCAGCAGCGATTTAGCTGAGAACCTCCGAAGATCCGTTTCGTCGGCCATCCAAAGGTTCAGCAGTAGTGCGCTCAGCAGCTGCAGTCTCCACTTCACAATCGCTGCAGCACACGGACACGCTCGTAGGCAAGAAGTGAAGCAGCTCATGGCGATGAGAAGCGAGGGGGAGAGCAGACATAATCTGACCAATACCGGCACACTTTTGCACCGGAGGTTTTCGTAAAGCTTTTATTTTGGTATTTCCGTTGATCCGTACAATAAATTTGCATGTTAGCCTAAATATTTAGTTTCCTGTAACATTTAGATTCAAAATTTAAAATTGTGTTTTAAAAATGAAAAGTTAAAAAATATTTTACTAAATGTAAAAAAGTTATTCACAAAAACATGTTTTTGTAAGGTTTTGAGCTAAATGTGGAAAAATGTTGCCGTTAATTTCACGTTACAAACGGCGCCTCATATCACACAGTCTGAATGCGACGCCGTCACTTTGTTTTCAGCATGTTGAGGACGGCGTGCCCCGGCGGCGTGTTTATGGCGTGTTAGCGGCACCTCTGTGTGCAGCTCCGGGCTCCTGTAACCACATTAAATTATTTATCCTGAACCAGCAACCGTCTCTGTTCATTTTGTGAATTTATTGATTATTACTGATTAGTTATTGGAGTTTCTTGCTAGCTGAGCCACCTGACCTCAGAGCGCTGACTCCGCAGTCTGACGTGAAGCTCGATTTTCTTCCTTTATGGGACAAACAGAAAAGGCTTCACTGTTCTCAGCCTGTCAGGTGTAGGGATGGGTATCGTTTAGGTTTTATCCGATACCAAACCGGTACTTTTGAAACGGTGCCGGTGCTTAAAGAATGGAGAACACAAACTTTGTCCAAAAACCTCTCATGTT